CTAGTTCTTATGTATATGTCGTTTACATACAATTGATATGTTAATACTCCTCACACAGAGAAAACGTGTATGATTTTTATAAAAAGATTTACAAGAAATATAAAAAAAACATTCATCACATAAACAAATTCGTAAGTATAAGTTTTAGTAATTATATTTTATGTACAAAATTCTACGAACAACTCAGCTTAATAGAAAATTCTTTTGATATTAAGTAGTCAAATCATAGATGCGGTTAAAATTCAGGGAATTATGTTATTAGCATTTGATATATATCTTACATTATGCGGTTATATTTTATTGAAACTATATTTTTGAACTATATATCGATATATGATAATGGATATATCATATATAGTAACTCTATTAAGCTATTTATAAATGGAACAAAAAATATATATGTAAATGATACAAACTTGAAATTTTATTATAATAACATAGATTGAGACTATAATAAATATAACATATTTCTTAAAAAGTTTCAAAATTTTTATATCATTTTTCTTAAATTCTCTAAAATGATTTTGATACATCCAATTTAATCTACTTAATGTATTTCAAGTCATAAAAAAGTTGTATAAAATGCATTTAAGCCAAATGTTGAAATAACATCATATTTATATATACTTTTATTCATACTTACATTCATAAATTAAAAAGAAGGAAATAAGAATGACTATTTTATTTACTTTTTTCCTCTAATTAAAAAAAAGGATATGAATATTAAAATGAAGGAATAATGGATTGCGTATGTTTGTGTATACATAGATAATGATTAATTTTAAATACTCTCATTACTTTTAGCGCAGCCATGCTCTTTATATTTCATATTTTTCATTTAAATTTAATAATATTTAAAAAATTGTTTCCATGAAACTTGAAAACAATATTTTTTCATATTAATGCTGACAGACTTATAGCAAAGTATACATTCTGAATATTAGTTGGCAAATCATTACATATTATTTATATTAATAACATAAATTGTGTAAGCATAAAACTACTTTTTTATATATAACATATTAAAACCAAATAGGTTCGAATTAAAGAAATTAAAGTTTTCTCTTTTAACAAAAAAAATTAAAATTATCGTATTTTGTACAATTTTTTAATTTTTATATCTGATATTAAAAAAAAAATCAACGAAGTCATTTTAAATGGAATTTTTGTCAAAATAAAATTTAAGATAAAATATAAGTTTATTATGAATTCTTATTTTTCGATTCTTTATAATCACGCTTCTTAAAAGTTCCGTAATGGTTATATCGGAACCAAAATGACCTCAGAGCACAATTAACACATTACCGTATATACACGATTTCGTTCTATAAAATAAAAAAAATTACTGATTAAATGTGCTCTGGGATCATTTTTAACCCTAGTGTGACCACGAAGGATTATATTTAATTATTAAAAATTCTTGAATTTATAATTAGAAGATATTTTAACGTGTGACATTTTTATTAGAAGTTTACATTAAAATCTACCCCATTATTCAGTGGAATAAATAACAGTCTCATAACTTACATTCTATGTATACATATAATGTAACGAAACGAAATTGTTTAAATCGTGTATATTTTCTCATACTTTATAGTGATGTCTCTTTAGAGGTATAGAGGAGAATGTTCTATGTGTTATCGAAATACAATGAAAAAAATATGAAAAGGAGATATAATAGTAAACAAGAATAATGTAAATGGTACGGATGCATGATAAACAATAATCTGTGACGTTTAAAAGCACAATATATTTAATTTTTTTAACGGTACTATAAAACAATTGATAATAAATTTTTTGTAACATTTTTAAATTATGTATACTTCCTACATTTCGTGATTTTTATTGTCTTGCATTTTATTATATGTGAGCTAAAGAATGTAGATATATCGTGCCTTTTGTACATTGTACATTTGTATATAACAATATTTTACATGAATTATTATTACAATGTAGTTTATACACAAATAATAAACAATTTTAAAAGATATAATGGTATGTTAATTTACTAATGACCAATAGATGTTATATGATAAAAAAATATTTTATGTAACAATAGACTAACAATAGATATTAGTTACTGACGTTAGTTTACTTGTTCATAGAAAAAAACTTTTGGTTACTTAATTATATCAATGGAAAATGTATTGTCATTATAATTATTTATTATTATTTTTTATTTATTATTCGTGATTCATATATTAAGGTTCTCGAGTACTTATTTCAACCATATTGAATCATGACATCATGAGCGTCATGATTCAGTATGGTTGAGATTGATAACTCAAGGAGCCTTAAAATTATATATTATTATGTTATATGTGACCATAGGCATGGAATTATATCACTAATCAATGATATAAATGTATTTCGTATGCGTATACGTTAATTTTATATAATAAATGAGTACATCATTTTTTATTGTATTAATTATTATATTTATTTATATATTGTGATTTTATACAACGAGTATATCGTTAATTTTTACAATTGTGTGTACGTATGTGAAAAAAATAGCTTAGTTTTCAATCCTAATAATAGCAATTTTTCTTCAAATATTGCTAATATGCGCTAAATAATACAGTACAGAAAATATTTTATCTAAATACATCACATTGGCAGTTATTCTAAGCGATTATAGTAATTATATTATATTTGTTCAAATATTTTTTATATTACAACACATTTACATTTTTCTTGCTTTAGTAATATATAGTATCAAAAACGTATATAAAAGTAAAAATATAACTTCATTTTTTCAAAAGTTCGCGATATTTTCAATTAGGAAAAAGCTTGTAGAACTGTGTAGTCTTTTATTATATATTTTGACCATAAATGTCTGCATAACTAGACTACTCACTTCAATATGTTTGTTGTTAAGCATGTTCGCATGATGTAAAATAGTTACCAACCGTCAAAATTCGGAGGACTCAAATTTTGTGAAAATAATAAATTTGAAATAAGTGAAAATAACAAGTATAAAATGTAGTTTTCAATTAATATATAAAGAATTTTGCGATTTTTATTTAAAAATTCGAATTTATAAAATTCATTCAGTAGAAAAATACAATTAAAAAAAATTAATTCGTAATTTTTTATATAATTTTTGTTGTGATCTCATGTGATATATACTAAGTTATTTACAAATATAATAATATTGTTTATGCATAATAATATAATGTATGCATTAAAAAAGTATTAATCTATTAAAATTTAATTACAATTAATATTGAATTTTTTTCTTTGTCTTCATAAGTATAAATTTTTTTAGTTTTAAAGTTAAAAAACATTTTCGAAAAAGAAAATTTTTTCATAATAAAAAAATCTACATTTTTGCGAAAAATCATTGTGCTGATTTTTTTAAAAAACATTTTGAAGCTTAGAAATTTTTTTTATTTTTAATTTTAATTTAAAGTAGATTTTCCAAGTTATAAAATCTATTTTAAAATGCTTATTTGTTAAATTTTGTCCAATAATGCTACATCCAAGTACAATACTTACAAAAATAACAAAAATATTGAAAAAAAATGTAAATTTTCAATATTCAATTTTTGTAATTTGAGACTAAAGTATTGGTAGAGTCAAAACGTCAAAATTTAAAAAAAGTTTTCTCTTTAAAACGCATTTATAAAAACTTCTTTATTATTTTTTTCACCGGGATATTTAAATTTTTGTAAAATGCAAGAAATCACAAGCATCTCCGAATTTATGAATGGTAATATTATATGTACATAAATGTGTAGTGTTGGTCATATATATAATAAACCCATCACACATAATATGCATACAGATAATACATATGTATGGATGAACATAAATAAGAATTTTTTGGCCTCATTTTTATTTTTTTTTGATAACCGAAGTGAGCAGTCTAATTATAATAATCTTTTGAAATAAGAATTTTAGAAAATGGCAGCATCGATCGATGTGTATATTTTTTAATTCGTATTTTTTTCTCCTTACATTATAGCTCGATATATATATCGATTATTAAATACTATGAAATGCTCTTATACAGTTATTTATGTTTGTATGTTTACGCATATAACATAATCTTGATATATGTAGATTTGTATATATGATACGTGTATTCAAGGAATGTAATAAGTAATATATGCTGCAAAATTATTTTCGAAAGATATCTGAGAGAACTAAGAGATCTCACTCATAATAATACATGTTATATGTCGCAGAAAATTACAACAAATGCATATATATTTCTAGTTATCACTTTTGTAACGTTATTTTGATTTGTTTATTATTGTTGTTGCAAGAAGATACATTTCTGTAACTTGAAAAAGTATAACTTGATTTTTCTAATATGAAAATGTTAATATTTATTTTAAATCTTGTGCTTTTAAGCTGATAGAACTTGTGTAATTTCGTAGCAAGTTTTCCTAACTTATTACATCTCTTTAGAATAATATAAATATAATAAACTTATTAAAATCTGCGACTGTTAAACCAATTTTACACACTTACATTAAGAATTAAATGACTTTGTTCATTCGATATAAAGCAATTACATAGGTGTAAACAATTAATTTAATTAACGGAAACATTGATATGAAAATTATAAATATTTTCAACATATATAACAATCAACAACAATTAAGTTTAAATAGTTCTACGTTTACATATCTCATATATATGTCAAAAAAAGTGAAAGAAAAGTAATAGTGTAATTAAGATATAAACAAATATAATATCAGGAAATGTTGAAAAGAATTACTTAAAGGCATAAAAAGATGCCTTAATTAATATAATATTATGCTAACCTGAAAAGAACTTAGACATTTTTAATTATGAGATTCACATACGAATTATGCATAGAAGGATAAATATGTAAAATATCGCGTATTTTCTATGAAGATCTATCGCTTCGCAATATTTTACACGATAAATACCACGTTCGAAAAATTTTATATCCTAAAGCTTTAAATTTCAAATTTATAACTATTGCATTTTCAGCACCACTATTCAATTCGCACACAAGCTTCTTCTAATTGTACATAGTGAATATCGTCGTTCCACAATTCTCTCCGAATTTGTATACTCATAACAAAGTATATTTGTAAAAGACTTCCAAAATTGAAAGAATGTACAAGTATATATTCATTGTGCAAGCTATTAATATTTTCAAAAGTATTCTCAAACTATTGGTGCTTATTTATTGAGATTCCCGTCGTATTTATATAAAATTAAGGAGCCTATTCTGTAACTCTTAACTCTTATTCTGTAACTGTAGCACTATGATTGATAAGAGTTATAGAATAAGTTCCTAAGTTATAATGAAGTGTCAATATTACAAGGCAAATTTATTCTCTTCAGTAGAAAAACTTTGAAATACGCGTCGGAAATGTCAAAAAATTAGAGCTCAAGCTCTTCAGCAGTGCGCGAGAGTCTATGATTATCGATACGTCGTCGTTGGCTACGTCTTACAGCATCCGCTCTACGATACGGTTCGGACCTGAGACCAAGAAGAATATCTTCTAGAGCGCCATTGTACACTTCGTCTTGTTGCAACAGCTTTTTCTCTTGCACTAATCGTGTCTTATTCTTCAATTCGTTTATAACAGCATCCTGATAATATGTAACAGAATATTAAGTATAACAGAAAAAATTTTTAATATTTATATCGAAATTCGTGAATCAAAATACCACAGTAAAAAAGTTATTTTAGGGAATAGTAAATTAGGGAGATTAAAGAGAAGAAATTTAAGAAATTAAAAAAATTTTTCTTTAAATCTAAATTAGAGTTAGAGAGTGAGCTGAAGTTTATTGAAAGGTGAAACAACCTATATCTCACAAACTTACTGAGATAAAAATGTACACTTTTTTATTCAATTTCTTGAAAACTTTCTTTATTGTGGTTTAATTTTAATTCACAAATTTTGGGACATCTTAATATGTTTCATAAATATGTAGGGTGTCTAAAATCATCTATCTATCACCCTTATATTTTGGAAACCCTTATATTTGGTTAAAAATTATGAAAAATTGCGAAATACGTGTCCGCTCATTTTGAAAGGCTGTTCCTTTAAAGGGATTGAAGAGGTTGCAGAAGCTCCTCGAAATGATCGAATACGTATTTATGATTTTCATAATTTTGATTTGTTTCCAAAATATATAAGGGTAATAAGACTTTATAAACATCCTGTCTGTAACTTATAAAGTATTATAAATTATTGCTGTATAAATATACTAAAGTTTTAATAACATCTTATCGGTCTTATTTCTCAACATATATTTAATATTAAAATTACAGGGTGTTCCCAGGTTAAACCAAACTTAAAGTGTGAATTTAAGACTTCAATTATAATCGTAACTTAAAAAATCAATATATTTTAAACGAAACGTTTGTGAGTAAACTAGAAGAAATTTTTGTTTTAAAATCCTAAGTTCATATTTTATATTTAGCGGTTTAACCTGGAAATTCTCTATATATTATATATTTATTAAGAAATATAAAAAAGCAAGATTTGTTAAAATTATAATTTCAAATCAAGAAAAATTTAATACAATTTTACATTACTTATACGAAATTTTATAGCAAGTAAAGCGATGATAGAAGAATTTTCTCAGGCAACATCAATACGAGTTAAAACATGCAAATGCGTACTTTGATTGTTATTAATAACTAACAGATGTGATATAAAGAATATGAGTTTATGAAGCATATATGTACTATTATATATTATTTTTCTTGTTACGAGATAATTTCGAGATAAAAATAATTTTATCAAAATGATTTTAGGTAAAGATGCACAGCTTTGTTAAAATAAATAAAGATGATTTTTAATAATGTGTGTGTGTGTGTGTGTGTGTGTGTGTGTGTGTGTGTGTGTGCGTGTGCGTGCGTGCGTGCGCGTGTGTGTATATGTATAATATATATATATATATATACATACATACACACACATACATACATAAATCTTTATATTTAATTTATAAATAATAAGTACAAACTTCTATACTAATTTATATAAGATATTTAATAATACCGTTTATAAATAAAATAAATATATTTTAAATTACACAGTTCAACATAAAAATTATTTTTTTTCTTTCCGAAGTGCATAATACATATTTCAAAGATTTTTTTCATGACGAACATGCCGTTGACAGAACTTGGATAACACATCAGGATTTTGATAATTACTGTTAACTTATTTTCAGCAAATGATTATTTTTTATCGAATTAATAATGACTTATTTTATCGCATTAATAATGACAATTTGAATTTTAGATTTTCTATATAGCCGCAGTAAAAAAGGGCAAATACATACTTAAAAACATAATATAACAATAAATGTAATTGTAAATTGAATTTACTATAAAACTACAAAAAATTAAATATAAATTTTACGTATATATACTATTACACACTATTACACAAATTACAAATTGTCAATTCAAAATAACGGGTTAAATAGGTCAAATCCTATATATGAATTGTATTATGTTGTGTGTTTATGTATGTGAACGAGCGTTTAATTATTTATATACTTAACACAAATTTCTTTTACATAGTAATAATAATCATTGTAAATATTGTTCACAATAATACTATAGGTAGTTACTTTTACTTGGATTATTATAATGTGTCTTTATAATTTTTGAATAATAAATTTATAAATTTATATAAAATTTACTTTTATAGCTTTAATATATTATGCACAAGTTATACATTAATGCTAAAAACAGCTTATAAAACAATTTTATATAAGAAATTTATATATTTAAAAATAAAAATAAGAAATTAGAGTAATCGCTAAATAAAACTTTAAAGTAACCATCGTTATTTTACTGAAAATAATATCAACAATGATCATTCATAATATTTAAATTTATATGTATCTAATAAATAAAATACAAAGTCTGAAAATTATGATGTATTAATGATAAATACTCTATGATGCATTTTATTAATGAGAAAATTTGAAATAAATTTTTTGTATGTTGCATGTAATCAGGATATTTACTGAAATCTTAAAAAAAATTTCGAGAATTCCCAGATTTTTCTCCAGATATTTTTATTCAAAATTTCAAGTAAAATTAGAGAATGTTTTGAAGCAATAAAAGACAGGAATTCCATAAGATTATTATTTTCTATAACTGGAGTCACAAAACCTGTAGGAAGGCTCACTACAATAAGTATACTAATAGCATCAATGAATTATTATTACAATCAGCTGTATTGTCTTCTATTGTTATCCTGATTTTTTAAAATAAAAACTCGTGAAATATATTTATATATGAGATTGTACATGAATATACGCGGATGTTTGCTATGCTTATTGCTAAATGATGATTGATATTATCAAGAAAAAATGATTAAAGAAATATTTAAAAAAAAAACACTGGAATTTAAATTTAAAAATAAAATTCCAAAAATTTTCATAAGTACCGATAAAATTCAATAAAAATCCAACAATTTCAAGAATTAAAAAAATCCTCTAAAAATTTCAGATTTTTGAAATTTCAAATAATAAATATGATAATGTGTGATATGTATGTAGATATTAAAAATCATACGTTAATAGAAGGAAGTGAGTGAGGACTTACATGTTATGTTTCTACATTGTTATGTTCTGAACTCCAGTTCATTAAGATGGCGGTGTAACAGACTCTTGTTCGAGTTACAGCAAAATTTCGGTGACTTTAAATCCAAATAAATATGTAACAAATAAAAAAAAACAGATGTTTATAAAATTTATGTGTTTAAGAAATGGAATAACTATAAAAGGCACGCGTAAAATAATCAGGATTGACGTAATCGTTCAAATCCCTGTAAAACGCCATGCTACGAGTACACAACATGCAAAAAAATGTCTTTTATTTATTTTTTTTAATAATCACTTATTCATTTACTCGCTTCGCTCTATACGCATACATATGTTTATGAAAATATTTATAATTATACTACTTTTAATTTAAAGTTTATGAATTAAAGCTTGATATCAAAAAATGATACGCGCTCATTTGATGATTTTTAGTAATTAATTTCTCATTAATTATTGTGAAAATTGCAAAATGGACAAAACTTTTTATCTTAATTTAATTCGTTTTACTTATAGATACATGAACATTTTGTAAAATTAAGGTATTCTCGATATTCTCTACATACATATATACATCTTTATAAAAGTACTTATAAAAATTTATATCTTTCTTCAAATTTTAAGTTTTTTCAAAGAAATAATAAACAATTATTTCGAACCACGTTTAAATGTAAGGATCAAAAATATGATTTATTTATTTTTATAAGTTTTATAAATGAATTATAATATTACGTAATGTTAATTTTAAATACATTTACAATCATTGATGTTGTAGAAGAGAAACTTAGACAAATATAAATAATAATATATATGTATATAT